GAGAGAAACAGCCTGATGGCTTCGCCGGCCGGCGGCCAACCATTAATTCCGGCTGGTCAGCCCCTTAACACATCTGCCCAACCTCCTACAACAACTACGAACAATCCCCAGCCCTCAAATCCCACAAACGAAGCCATGAATTACGCAAAAGTTGTGAACCCTACTTCAACGACCACTGCCAAGCAGAATCGAGCCGCTACAGTTGAACCAATTGCTCTTCGTCTATCAAAATCAACGAATTAAACTTACCCTAGGCGATTGTAATGGAGTGATAATGGAGGAGAACTAGAGAATTTGGGNGGTTGAGGGAGAAAGAGTAAAGTGTATGCAAAAAGAGAGAGAACGTGGTTAGTCAATTTTACTGTGAATATGTGAGAGAAAAGATTAAAAAGGAGAGAGAAAAATATTATTTAGCATATATGGTGCCTTAAATGTAGGATGTAACTATAATTAGATATTTGGTTATAATGTATAAAAGGTATCTATAGGATGTAATATTTTAAAATGGTATTTATTTAAAATAAATAGGGTACTAAGGTTTTCTATAGGGTGTAAAAATTCCTTCAATAAATGGACGGGTCAATAACCAATCAACCTTGGGCCGGTCATTTGGTCTTGGGCCAAATTTGACAGCCATAGGAGCATCCCTACGTGGTGATCAGTCCGCCAATTCACGCAAACCCAAAGGAATTCTTGCCAGAAATTCAAAAAAAAATATACTTATCTTATTCTTCTCCTCCCTTGATTTATTTGTTGCCTTAGTAGTTATAGGCTTATAGCAGTTTCAATTCTACTATTTGTATTGGGTTTCTTCTTAGCTAATTCAACACAAATAGCCGGCCAGATTTATTGTTTAATATATGGAATATGCAATGATTATACACCTATAACATATGAATTATACATATATTATGTATCCACCGACTATTTTTAATTTAAGCGATTTGGTGGATGGTTGTTTGGGTTTATTCTTCATGTTTAAAATAACCAAATTAAGACACCATCTCCTTAAATTAAAAGCACGAAATAACAAAGGGGGAGTATAGCCCTAGTTTCTTTTGGTCATGGAGATGATGACATTTGTGAATGTAGTCTTCTCTTTTGCCATGCAATAGACAAAGATTTCTCTGCACTTGTTGAACACTTGATCCATATTCAATTCAGTACCAAAATGGCTGACAAGCAAAGGCTCAGCCAAGGGTCTCAGGCTATTTGCCATATTGTCACTATTGGTGCAATCTTGGGGTGTGGCCTTTTCTCGGTCCCTACACAAATGCGAGTCGCCTTATACATCGGACCGACCTGTATTACTGCAGGTTTCATCAGAAACATCAATATGAAATTCTGAAGTTTCCAAGACATCAATAGTGAAAGATCCCTCCTTTTCAACTATATACTTCACTTCTGCAGGAGATGGATGGTATATAAGAATATTGAATGAATTTACTTTCTCTTTTTGTATTAAACCCTGCATATTAATAATGAAAATACACTATGAGTTTAACTTCTATATATTAATAATAATTTTTTTATACTATTAGATCAATTAAAAAATTATCGTTCATACTAAGTTGGATTGGCAATTTGAAATTCAAATGTTATATTCCTTCTGCTCTATTTTACGTGATACTGAATTTTCACAAATAGTAAACTTTTAATATTTAAAACTGATTTAGCTTAAACTTCTTGTACCATTACTGACATACAAAGGCGGATCTGCGATTTAAGTCTATGGGTACCTACAAGGCTACAACGACCTCAAGTTAATGTGTAATATGATAGTTGAGTTCACAATCAGATATTTATAAGTATTTAGTGGATTTCTTAATATGTATTAATCCTTTGGGCAGAAACTACGGAGCTCACTGAACCGTTACAGCCCTAATGACATGCTCTTATAACTACAGAAATATCATGACATAGTCAAGATATTAAGGAATATGCAAATTATTTTTTTTCAAGATATATGTAATTTTTTTTTTAAAATTGGTATTTATATGTGTACGATATGTGTATAATATTAAAATTTGTTTAGTTTTACCATTTCAACTAGCTCTTTGAGGGCCATGACCAGAGGCTCCACTATGTAGTAACACCCTTTGCTGTAGAGATCTTCATTGTTCCTGCCTAGCATTGTCAATATCATTCGTCCTCCTTTCACCAATTCCTTTGAACGATACTTAAGAAAAGTTACAAAATCTCTTTCATATTGCTCATAATGTGCTTTAACCACAGTTGTTGGACTTGTTCTTGACACGTAAATATTTCCCTTGTTATCCTCTATACCATCAGGCACCTATATATCACAAGTCATGAATTCAAATCTTATGTTAGCTGTTCAGAATAAAGATGTTCTTATTGTGTATATATTCGACCCGTAAGCCGTTTAATTAAACATGTAGAACCTACAGCAACAACAATAAGTCCTATATGCTTCTGACGCCTATATATACAAATGATTTCAAATAATAATTTAAAAAAGCAAAATTAAAGATTGAAATTACAACAATAATTCAGTGTAATCTGAAAAGCAAATTCTTAAAAGAATAATGTATATGCAGACGTTACTCTTACCTTATAACTATAGAGACAAAATTTCGTTCAACATAAATTTGTTAAAGCGGTTGGAAAGGTAGCAACTGACAAGAATGACATGCTTAACCATGATTAATTAGGCCAGAAAAAAATTAGGCCAGAAATATCTTTGCAGTTCAAACGCTCAGTCAATTCATGCATGCTCCTAAACAATCTTGCATGGAGGGGAAGAGTGGTTAGATACATTTAGTGGTGGAAAAATAATTAAAAGAATGCCGAGGGTCTTGGTGGGAAGGATGCCGAGGGTCCATTTGAAAACAGCCTCTCTACCCATGGTAGGGGTAAGGTCTTCGTACACACTACCCTCCCCAGACCCCATTAGTGAGATTATATTGGGTTGTTGTTGGTGGTGTTGTTGTAACGAGTGTCATATTTTGTGATTTTCACCATGTCCTATTTTTTAAAATGATTTGAACCCCGATCTTTTTATTTAATTTCTTGCAAAATAATAAAACCACTCTTTTTTATAAATTTTCTCCATGAGGACAAAATAGGAAGTACAAATTAAAAGAAGCTTTAAAATTTCAAAAATAATTCAAGCAAAAATACAAGACCTTCCAAAACTTGCGGGTTCTCTCCTAACTCCTAAGCGACGAAGCCTTAACTTTTAATTTTATGTCATTTTTTCTTATTATTTATATTTCCTATTTTACTCTCATGAAAAAAGTTATAAAAGAAAATAAGACATAGTGCATATGACAAAATGGGACAAACATTAAGGGTGTAAAATGCAACAGACCCGAAATATTTGTATCTTATATTTGACCTATTAAAACCACATCTGTATTTGTTTCCCTAGTCAAAGAGTGCAATCATATGCTTCAAATACGAATATTATATTATATTATATTATATTACTCTTTTCATTTCATATTAAATGAGATACTTTCCTTTTTAGTCGGTTCCAAAACAAATGACACATTTTTAAATTTGAAAATAATTCAACTTTAAACTCTTTCATTTTATCCATTTACCTTTAATAAGAAGCTTTTATAGCCACACAAATGTCATTGCTCCACAAACTTTTTACCCCTTAAACTTTTAAAACCGCAAGTTTCAAAAGTCTTTTTTTTTTTTAAATTCCGTACCGAGTCAAATTACCTCAATAATTATGAAACGGCTGCTGTACAAAGGCTGCTGTAGAGTGCAGCTATGGCTTCTCTTATTGACTTTGTCATTAGGATCACCTTTTGCTGTATCAAAATGCAATGTAAATCAGAAGGTTACAATTTGTTTGTCGTAGTTAGACTTGGCACGAAATTTAATAGAGAGAGTAACACTTTTGAACTTGTGGTCATAAATATATCATAATATTTACGTAGCTATAAAATTTTTGAAACTTGTCATTTAAACCAGTAGTAGTATTTGCGTGGCTATGAAATGAAGTAAAGTAATTATAATTGAGACTTTATAACCTCTATAAAAAGGCAACCTAATGCACTAAGCTCCCGCTATGCGCTGGTTCCATGGAATGATCGGACCACAAGGATCTATTGTACGCAGCATTACCCTGCATTTCTGCAAGAGACTATTTTTACAGCTCGAACCCGTGACCTCCTGATTATATAGCAGCAACTTTACCAGTTAAGCTAACGCTTCTCTATGCGGAAATAAAAAATTGTGTGATTATATTATACCTGAAGCAAAGAATTTTTGGCATAGCTAGCCTCTCCAATTCCTTCATTCATATGAAGAACTTTGGCAACTTCCATTTCTTGGATCTTCCTGTATTATACGAATATAGTATTTTTTGGCTAGGCAAATTAAAGTTCCAATGGGGGTATCACTTATTTATAGATGAGTAATACCAAAATTATCCATGAAATTCNGTGAAAAGAACTTTGGCAACTTCCATTTCTTGGATCTTTCTGTATTATACGAATATAGTATTTTTTGGCTAGGCAAATTAAAGTTCCAATGGGGGTATCACTTATTTATAGATGGGTAATACCAAAATTATCCATGAAATTCCAACAGTGTCCCCTCACAAGCCAATTATGCTAGCGTTTGGACTTTGGATATAGAATTAGTTAAAACTTGAAAAAAGAAAGAGTTTTTAAAGATAAGATGAAAAATTATTTTGGAAAGTGTGTTTGGACATGCATTTTACTTGAAAAGAATTTAAAGTTTTGTGAGTAAAAAATTTCGATAACTTCAAAACTACTCAGAGAGTTATTTTTTTGGGATTTGAAGACTTTATTTTCAAAATTTGGCAAAAAATAGTTAGAATCTAAAAATAAATAAATCAGATACTATTTAAAAACATATTCGAAAAAATGCTTCCAAATTTTATGGCCAAAACGGGAGCTAAGGACGTTTGGTTACCGGGATTAAGATACTAACCTCAGTATAAAATTTAAAATTATAATTATTTTGTATTTAGCTATTCCCGAAAGATGCATTTTATAATTGAGGAGTTTAAAAAGTCCGACCGAATTCGATCATTTATTTTAAATCTTATATTTTTTTCAGTCAATAAATTGACCGCGTAGATTGATTTTTAATACTAACCAAAAATAAAATAAAAAATCAACCCATCATTTTCGATGAGTTTTTGGTCGATAATCAAGAGCCAGTTTAATAATAAAGTTTTTACTGCCTTTATAAAATAAATTAAAAAAAAGAATCAACAAACAAATTAAAAATAAAGTAAATTGAGATTCTTTTTTGTTTCTCTTTGAAATTTAAAGTATTGCATCAAGTATTATAAGCAACAAAAAGTTTTTTTTTTTTTATAAAGTAGGCGGTTTTCAAATTAATTACCTATATTATCAATTGGAAAAATAATTATTACAAAAAATTTAATAACTTTGAAGCTAGAAAAATAGACTTAATTAAAATATATACATATTTAAAAAAATTAAAATCTTTTGTCAAAGTTCCGATTTAGGCAACAAATATCGTTAAGCCGCCCTATAAATTAGTTTTGGACTATAGTATATCACAACATTAATAGTATATCGTTAAGACACTAATGTATATATAACATTAATAAATAGTATATCACAACACTTAATTATGATTAAAAAATATATGTTTTCACCTAATAAAATCACTTAAACATGATAAACTGGTATAATTTGGTATAAACACTTAGTACAGATAAAATTTTATCATAAATTTGCGAGTCAATCAATTTGAGGAGGTTCGCTGAATGAGGTCAATCCCGGTAATAGCACGAGCTAGTCATTTTTAGTCGGCAATTATTGAATAGTCACTATCATAGAGTTTTAAATTTTCTCAAAAGAAACTCACAATATTCTAAATTTCACTTGTAGAATTTGAAATTCCGTGATCACTGCTAATTTTAAATTACACGAACTGAAAAATGGTTGTTTAGGAATCTATCCCACTAATTGCCGATCATGAGAGTCAGGGGAGGATCCACCTCCCCACCTACAAGAACCTATAAACATTAAATTATGGATCCGCTTCTAATAACAATACATCAATTTAAATGGTGAAAATTAAGTCGAGAAAAGAAAAACATAAAACTGTTTATTTCATAAAGAAATGTTTTCTGTAAGATTTGTCTTTGGAGTTTGGAAGGATTTCTTTTTTAAGAAAACAAGTCTTAAGGTAGGCACTTAGTGCTTGACTCATATCAATAAGTAAATAATTGTTTAAAACATATGTAAATATAATTATTTTGAGAGTGTCTATATTAGGACTTTTTCAACTCAACTTCAATTTTTTTTCCCAAGTTTCAACCAAATCTTTATTCAAATACCAGTTAAGTAAAAGAAAATGAGTTTAAGCTTTATACTGATAAGATAAAAATAATGTCTGATCACTTAAATGATAGCTATACCTTTTACACTATCATTATATATAAGTAATTCATAAGAAAATGTTATTTATAATCCTTGGTGAGTTTATAACTCCATTAGGAAATAAAAAGGCGTATGATGATACCTGAAGCGTAGAGTTTTTTGCATAGCTAGTGTTTCCAATTCCTCAGTTCATGTGAAGAATTTTAGCAACTTCCATCTCTCCTTCTCTTAATTGGATCTTCCTGTATTAAATAAGGTATTTATAGATGGGTAAAACCAAATTTATCCTTTGAATTTCCATCATTGTCCTCACGAGCCAAATGAGTAAATATTGTACACTACGGGCAGAGGCAGGCATAGGATTCGGCGATTGCAGGGGCACCATGACATTCATTACAAATGTAGCACTACTCATAATGATTGGTACGAGCGCCTATACTAATATCTAACTATTTTTTTGAAAATATTTGTAAGTATACATGGAGTTTTTGCCGAAGTTTTCGGTGCCGGTGACCCCTCAACTTAACATGTGTGTCCGCCTCTGACTACGGGTTTGTTTGGTATGAAGGAAAATATTTTCCAATTTTTTTTTTAATTTTCCCATGTTTGGTTGACTTAAATATTTTGGAAAATATTTTCCTCATAATTGGAGAAAAATAATTTTCCTATAGAAAAATATTTTCTACACAAGGAAAATAACTGATAAAACCTGTCACGACCCAAAATTCATTTAGTCGTGATAACACCTAACCCAATCCAATAGGTAAGTCAATTAACAACTATCCAATTCTAATGAAATTAATAAGGTAATTAAATAAAAGAAAATATCTCAATCTTATAAATTCCCCAAGAACTGGTAATACAAATCATGAGCTTCTAAGAATAGAATTTACAAAGCTTGTATGACGTAAATACATCATCTGTTTGAAAAGCACATACGCAGGGTTTTATAAATCTAAGGCTATCACGAACAAGATACAGCTTTAACCGGAACGCATGTACGTCTTCAATTCCAACTCTCATCGATCACAGCAACATCAGCAGCCAACATCTGCACATAAGGTCCATAAGTGTAGTATGAGTATAACCGGCCCCATGTCCTCAATAAGTAACAAACGTAACCTTAGGTTGAAAATAGTGATGAGCTGGAACAAAGGTCGGGTCCAACATCCAATAGCCAACAACAGTTCATAACAACGTAAAGCAAGTAACAAAAGAAGTAACTTAGAGATAAAATGCTCAGCTTTTCCATAGTTTTCCCGAAAAATAGTATCTCTTTTGTCATGGCCCAAAACTCGACCCATCGTGATGGCGCCTATTGTGGAATTAGGCCAGCCTCAACTCAATAATCCAACATCGCAAAAAAAAAATTAAACAGTAAATACTGAAGCGACAATTCATTAAGGAACATTTTTGAAAACATAATAAAATCCAAATTACGATACAACTGCCCAAAACCGGGGTGTCATTGAGTGCATGAGCGTCTAGAGGAAAACATAGTCTATTGCAATGTTTAAAGGAACAAACGGAAATACATCTAGAGATAAAGAAGGAGAGTCAAGGCCTATGAACGTCGTGTAGATACCTCGATAGTCTCCCAAAGCCTGAAGCCTTCAATCAGCGACTGCCACTGGGACTAAAAGTGCCTGAATCTACACACAAGGTGCATGGGGTAACGTGAGTACACCAACTCAGTAAGTAACGAGTTCAAACTGTGGACTAAAAGGTAGTGACGAACTTAACCACCACAGAAATAACAGAAATGAATGTGCATAAACGTAGGCATGCTTTCAATTTAATAGGCAAGTGAAATAGTGAAATAGTGAAATAGTAAAATAGAGCAGATACGAACAAGGTAAAGAATAAAACTCTACTACATTTACATGCCAATGCACATGTTGTATATGATGCACCATGCTGAATATCTCATGTACTCACACTCTCAAATGCTCGTCCACTCAGTACTGTATATGGCTCATAGGGCCTAGAGAAGATCCATCTCGGATTATATACATCTCTGACAGTAGTCAATCAGTACTAAGGAAGGCCAATCCAACCTTATGGAGATGATCCATCTCTAGGTAAAAATAATAACCTCACAATCACTCGGTACTGTATATGGCTTACACGGCCCAGGAAAGATCCATCTCGGAATATATACATCACTGACCATCAGTCTCCGTACCGAGGACATAGGCCAATCCAGCATCATGGAGAAGATCCATCTCCAAATAATAATATCAACCGCTCACTGGGGGTGTGTATAGACTCTGGAGGGGATCATTTAGCCTAAGCACTATCACACATCAATACAACCATTGCAGCATACGGACTGATCCCATATCGTTCACTCATAATCAGGTCATCGGCCTCACTCAGTCATTACTCTCCAGTTTCGCCCACGGGCTCACAATGTCATGAAACTAACCTGGAACAATAATATGATGTGCCAATAAATAACAACTGAGACTGAGATATGATATGAAATGCATGAATATGACTGAGCATAGAATACTAATGAAATCAATGAGATGACAGCAAGAAACAACCACTAGGGGTCCCAAACGTATCGGCATAAAGTCCTAACATGTTATCTAGCATGATTTACAACTCATCTACTTTATCACATGATAGAAACACGGATATCAACAAGAAAGGGTCAGTAAATGGTGACATGGAATGAACCAAGTCATGATTCTCACGGTGTACGCCCGCATGCCCGTACGCTCGTCACTTGGCATGTGATTCACCTCAATACTAACCGCATAACACGTATTTCGGGGTTTAGAACCCTCAGAACCAAGTTTGAAAATATTACTTACCTCAAACCAAGCAAAATCATACTCTGCGATGCCTTTGCCTCTCAAATCGGCCTCCAAGCATCCCGAATCTAGCCACAAGCAACACAATACGATCAATATAGCTAAAGGAACCAACTCCACAAGAAAAATGCCAAATTGTAACCAAATTCCG